GGATGTGTTTCTTGTGGCCGGGCATGTCGCCGGGCGAGGTTGTGGATTTCGGTATTGCTTTGGTACCGGGCATCGTATCGTACGGCTCCGACAGGAGTTATAGCAGTGGAAGGAACAACTTCAGGCTTCCTTGATAATGAGTTCATTGGCAGGCCAATATGGAAGTGTGTTCTAGCTTGGGTGGCTTGGTTGGCCCCGAATCGTATTGTTGAGGGATAGGTTGATTCGATCGTTATTGAGCTTGTTGGTGATCTAGGGAAATCTATGAGTGGCCTTTCTGTGTTGCGAGACGTTAGGATTTGTTGGTTATGGGCACATATGGTGCGGTTCTATTGGGGTTCATAGTGGAAGTCGAGTGGGAAGAGTAATTGAGTGTTGCTCGGTGAATGGCGTATCGGTTATGTCCTATCGGGTTGGCGTGGTATATGTTACTTGTTTCACCGAGGGTGTAATGATTCGCTTTGGTTCCAGACATCAAATTGTGCGNGTATGTTCAGACCGTTGCTTTGTGGTGCGCGTATTATGCTAGTTGTGGCTTAGGCCTCTCTTGATGTGTCATGTCACCAGAGTGGTGTGTCGAATTAGAGGAGATCGCTGGGATCATTAATGAATATGATCGGATTCAATTTCAGCATGTTGGAAGGTTAATACCAAAGTTCGGCTCGAAAATGTGCTATGGTAATTGCCAGAGGAGAAATGGCTTCATGAATGGTTGATCTGAGAAATGGTTATGGTTTATTACGTGTTTCATTGATCGTTGGCAGTATATGAAAGTGTTGGAATGAGACTTTAGCTGATAAGAGGTTTTCTATCGGTAATTGGTTGTTGTGGACAGCCGCTGTGAATGGAAGTTATCGCTACATGTGTTTGAGTTATGTGGTATATCATATAATTGCACCTGAGGTTGCAAGCATGGGCTGCTAGAGCTAGTTCGGGTCCATTCAGAGTATAGGTGTGAGGTTTTGATTGTATTGATGGTTTCAGAAGTGAAAATGTGGTTCTATGATTCACGGGCTAGGTTGGGTTGCGTAATTTCAGTTTCTATGTGTTATCGGACCTATATGAGACAGGGTGACGTGAGATCACCCCCGGGTATATGCTTGGTAAGGTTATTCAGCCATTAGTTGGCTTCTAGAACAACTCTGGGAACGTTCGAGGACGAACGTGTGTTTAAGTGGGGGAGGATGTAACGACCCGACCGATCATTTTGAGCTTTTGCACTTTGATCGCCAGTTCTCGGGCATGACTTGCCCCGTGTAATGCATTATGACTGATGTAGATCGTTGGTTTTGGTTTTCAGGAAAATCGGAATGAATTTGAAAGAACAGTCTCAGTTAAAAGCTTTGAATTTGAAAGGTTTGACCAAGAGTTGACTTAATTGTATATGATTTCGAATTGGAATTTTTATGATTTGGCTAGCTCCGTTAGGTGATTTATGACTTAGGAGCGCGATCGGAATGCATTTTGGAAGTCCGTGGAAGGATTTGGCTTGAATTGGCAAGGTTAGTATTTTGGCGTTTTCGGTTGATAGGTGAGATTTTGATTCGAGGGTCGGAATGGAATTCCGAGAGTTGCTGTAGCTTTGTTATGTCATTTGTGATGTGTGTGCAAAATTTCAGGTCATTCCGACGTCGTTTGGTTGGGTTTTTGATCGAAAGTGTATTTCGGAAGTTTTTGGAAACTTAGGCTCGAATTCGATGAATTTCGAGTAATTTGATGTTGTTTGAGGTGTTTTAATGATTGGAACAAGTTTGAATGAGGTTTTAGGGCGTGTTGGTGTTTTTAGTTGAGGTCCCGGGGGCCTCGGGTGAGTTTCGGATGGTCACTCGGACCATTTTTTTTCATTTTGGAGTTGCAGATTTTCATCTCAGCTGTTGCAGAAGAAATGGCCTTCGCGATCGCGTGAAGTCCCTCGCGATCGCGTAGAGGGATTTTTCGTTGGCCCAGGTTTGCTCTTCACGTTCGCAGTGATGGGTTCACGTTCGCGTAGTTTTGGAGGTGGAAGCTTCGCGATCACGGTTGTGTGTACGCGTTCGCGTATAAGGATTTGGGGACCCAGTGGATTTGTTCTCCGCGTTAACATAGGCTGGTCCGCGTTCGCGTAAGCTTGGGAAAAAGAGCATCACGTTCGCGGAGGGAGCATCGCGTTCTCATTGAGTATTTTTGAAGCCTTGGATTTTTGTGCTTCGCGATCGCGTGGCCTTGGTCGCGATCGCGAAGAAGGATTTGGAGTTGCTGGGCAGAATGTTTTTAAGTCACCTTCCGCGATTTTGGGTCTATTTTCACCCATGGCTGCTCGTTTTTGGAGATTTTTGGAAGAGATGAAAGAGGGATTCAAGAGTAATCGACTTGAGGTAAGAATCTTGGTCTTAAAAGTTGATTATATTGTGAAATCCACCTAGAAATTCATGGAAACTAAGCCAAAAATTGAAGAACTAGGGCTTGAGAAATTGGACTTTGAAATTGGGATTTGAAGGACCATTTGAGGTCGGAATTGAGAAATTTTGATATGTATGAACTCGTGGGAAGATAAGGAATCTAATGATGTGAAAATTTCTGAGTTTCGAGAAGTGAGCCCGGGGCTCGGGTTTTGATAATTTCGGGATTTGTGCCCGTAATTGATTGTTTTCGCTTGGGCTTTGTTCCCTTAGCATATTGTGATGTATTCGCACTGATTTTGGGTAGATTCGCGCGCGTGGAGGCCGATTTAAGGAGCAAAGGCGTCGCGAGCTAGAGATTTCGCCGGCTCAACGTGAGTAATGATTGTAAATGATATCCTGAGGGTTTGAAACCCTGGATTGCACATCGTAGTGCTATATTGAGGTGAGACACGCGCTGGATGATGAGCGTGGGGCCTTTTAATACTGGGGATTGTGACTTGGTCCGTCCCGATTTGATGATTTTACTGCATATTTGACTGAAACTTATTTGTTATCATCATGACTTGGGCTGATTGCCATATTTGGGCTTCGTGCCAACTATTTGCACCCTTCGGGGGATTTTTATCACTATTTCCTCACTGTTTTGACTTATTATTAAACTCAGTCCTGTTGATATCTACTGTTTTACAAACTCAGCCACTTTTACTCAGATTTGAAACTTAAATGATATTTCTAAATGACGTTTTGGGTTGAGAACTACTATTTTACTATGCCCGAGGGGCTTGTGATGATTTTTGGACTGAGTGAGGCCAAGGGCCATATGTGAGGATATGCTGAGTGATATGAGGCCGAGGGCCTGAGATACTTTATATGCCACGAGGTGGCTTGAGTGATGTGAGGCCGAGTGCCGAGTGATGTGAGGCCGAGTGCCGAGTGATGATGCCACGAGGTGTCTTGATATTGCGCTTGGGCCGTAAGGGGCCCCTCCCGAAGTGCACACCCCCAGTGAGCGCCGTCGACGAAATATATGGATCGGGCTGCACGCCGCAGCGATATATGTGGGTCGAGCTGCACGCCGCAGCGATATATGGATCGGGCTGCACGCCTCAGCGATATGTGGATCGGGTTGCACGCCGCAGCGGTTACTATATGATACTATTCTAAGAGTAATCTGAGAGAAAGAGCCCGAGGGGCTGAGAGTGTTCTGAGAATGAGCCCGAAGGGCTGGTACTGTTTTGAGATATTGCCCGAGGGGCAAACCTTATGTGTTCATCTTTCATATTTACTTGCCATTTTACCTATTATACAGTGATAATTTTGCCCGAGGGGCGGATTTTCTGTGCTTATCAGTACTACTGTTTTGCAATCATTGCGTAATTGTTGAAAAAGTCATTTTCACAAGAGGTTTAAACTGAGCTAAGATATTTTCTAAAGATTTCACAGCTTCACTGCTTTTCTCAAAGGGTTTTACACTGCTTCTATACAGCATGATGGTTTGCTTTACGTGATTTCTTACTGCTCAGTTGTTATTTACCTTTATTACTCACTGAGTTGGAGTACTCACTTTACTCCCTGCACCTTGTGTGCAGATGTAGGTATTTATACACCCGGTAGCGGGTTTTGGCTGATTGGAGGTAGGGGTTATCGGAGTTTAGCGAGGTGGCTGTCAGCGTTCGCAGCATCGCTTTTCTCCCTATTCGTTCATCGGTCATGTTTTGTATATTTCAGACCTTGTAGTTGTATTTATACTCTAATAGATGCTCATGACTAGTGACACCCCGATGTCGGGTTGTATTTGGGTTGTACTTCTGCGTTGTTGTGATATTATCTGCTGTTTAGCATTGTTAAATCAAGTGTTAGCATGTTTTATTGCTGTTTAGTTGTTTAACGTCGAATTGGATATGTGTCGGCTGACCTTGTCTTCACGAGAGGCGCCATCACGACCGGGTCTGGGTTTAGGGTCGTGACATTGTTTTTCCTTCTTTTGCCTTTTTAATTAGTTTCAGCCAACATGCAACTTTTTTGGTTGAGATTCCCAGTCCATTGATGATATTGGTATGGGTAATAAACCTAAATTGAAGGAAGAAATTTTTGGGTATAGTTTTACAGATCTTGCTCAAGTTTCACCGGTTTCAATTTCAATTTTGTTCTTCTGTATTTGTTTCTCCTTCTTCTGCTCTTCCAATTAGTTTTAACCCACATACAAGTTCAGGTATTAAGCCTAATTAAAAGAAAGAAAATTTTAGGTATTTGTTCATGGGTTGATTAAAAGAAAGAAAATTTTAGGTATTCATTGGTTCTGTTGCAATTTTACATTCAGATTTTGAGAGAAACACAGACGAATAGTAACTAAATGGAGAAAATATAAACGGAAACCAAGTGAAGGCCAAGAAGCAGCATAATAGAAATGAATTTCAACACTTTTTCGAGGGAGGAGTGCTTTTTTGTTTATTTTTTGAATCCCTTTGATAAAAATTCTGTTTCTGGTCATTCTAATTTTTTAGTAGCATATATTTAATAGCTCCTCTTAAGCATGCTGATTGTGGGTGGACGATAAATAAACACCATTAGGATCAATTTTCAAAAGATCCCCTTCTCGGAGCAATTGATGAGGCAAGTTTATCGTAGCCATTTTGCAATTGAATGAGTGAACCCTTTCTCTCATTTATAACCTCACGTTTTACTACACTTTTTTAGATTGCCATCTTTTGGTTCATTTCTGGTAAAGAAGTTAGTCTTTGAGTGATTGCTTTTTCCCCTTTTCCATTTGCTCTTTACTTTTTGACCTTTCACCTTGTCAATTTATTCTTTCTGTTATTGCAGTTGTTGCGTTCCATTGTGTGGTTGTGGTGTACTTCTGTTATCCAGTAGCGTTCCGACCGAAAGGTAAATTTCTGATCTTTCATCATTTACATATAGGTATTGTGAGTTTTTGCCTAGGTTCTTTGAAAATATTACTATAATATATACATATTAGCCATGTTGAACATATATTCACATTCAGGGAATAGTCGCCGACTGAAATGCCGAATGAAAATCATAAAAATGAAAACTTCGAAAAAGTCCACGCCGACAAGAAGGCTAGGCGACGCGAACCATATAGAATGATGCAATCCGATAAAAAAGAGGCCCTCCTAACACGAGCGCGAGCAAACAAAGCTCAAACAAGCAGGCGGCAACATGCTGCCTCCTCACTTATTAACAGTTCTGCTAACCCATCATCCTCTATGAGTGCTAATAGTTCAAGCGAGCAGTGTGCTCCTTTCATGGGATATTCAATTCTATACGAAACAGGTTAGATAACTAGATTATCATTTCTTGGTGTTATGCAATTAGAAATACATGTGTGTATTAGTTACCATCAAAATGATATACTTACACCCGTTGTTGTTATATGCCAGGAACAACATCTAATACAAGTCATGAATAATATAACAAAGTATCAGTAACAACCCAAGTGTCACCTCAATACATTATGTTAAAGACAGTTCCCAAATGTAAATTTTGCGGAGCCAAAAAATTTGAATACGAGCCGCCCGTATTCTGCTGTCGTAATGGCACTGTTAAGCTAAGTTCACACCAAGTACCAACAGAGTTGAGAAATCTATATCTAGGAAATACTAAGGAATCAAAGCATTTCGGAACCTACATAAGAACATACAATAATATATTTGCATTCACATCCTTGGGAGTAACCTATGACAGAGAATTGGCAAAGAGAAACAAAGGTATTTACACCTTTCGAGTTCAAGGACAGATGTATCATTTTATAAATGACTTGATACCAAGTAATGAAAAGGGAAGAAATCTACAATTATATTTCTTTGATAATGAAAATGAAATGAGAAATCGAATGATATGTTCCGATAAATTGAACGAGTGTACTGTGAAAAGTTTGATGGAAATATTAAAAATCAATCCTTACTCTGTATTTTAAAATCCTTAATAAATATCCCACAATTATCAGATTTTTATATTGCGCTTAAGTGTGATGCTGGTTTAGATCAACGGATATACAACCTCCCAACTACATCAAAAGTGGCAGGGATATGGGTAGAACAAGATACCAATAACTGTATCCCTACTCCACATATTCGAATTTATACAAAAAGCGATAGAAGGCAGTTGGTAAATTATTATTACGGCTGTTATGACCCATTGCAATATCCATTATTGTTCCCGTACGGACAAATGGTTGGCATTTGTCACGACCCAAACTCCGCACTTGTCGTGATGGCGCCTCTCGTGAAGACGAGGCCAGCCAACTAACCCAACTCGTCTTTTCAAAAGTAGTTAAACATAATTAAACAGCTTAAATATGACTTAATAGTATTAATTAGCGGAAATACAACCCAACACAGCCCTAATCGGGGTGTCACAAGTCACGAGCATCTATAAGAATATAATTACATTTACAAGTCTAGAAATACACTGAACAGGAATAATGATTAACATAGAAAGAAACGGTGCTGCGAACACTGGCAGACACCTCGCTAGACTACTACAGCTCTGCCTCCAAACAGCCAATACCCGCTACCGGGTGAATAAATACCTGCAATTGCACACGAGGTGCAGGGAGTAAAGTGAGTACTCCAACTGAGTGATTAATAAAGGTCAATAACAACTGAGCAGTAAAAAATCACGTAAAGCAACCAATATGCTGTATAGAAGCAGGGTACAATCCTTTGAGAAAACAGTGAAGCTGTGAAATCTTTAGAAATATATTGGCTCAGTTTAAATCTCTTTTGAAAATGATCTTTTCAACAGTTACGAAACGATTTCAAAACAGTTAGTACTGATAAGCACAGAAAAAAATCCGCCCCTCGGGCACAAATACCGCAGTATAACAGGTAAAAAGGCAAGTAATTATGCAAGATGAGCACATAAATCTCCGCCGCTCGAGCAATATCTCAAAACAGTACCAGCCCCTCGGGCTCACTCTCAGAAACACTCTCAGCCCCTCGGGCTCTCTCTCTCAGATCACTCTCAGAACAGTATCATATAGTAACCGCTGCGGCGTGCAGCCCGATCCACATCTCGCTGCGGCGTGCAGCCCGATCCATATATCGTCGACAGCGCTCACTGGGGGTGTGCAGACTCCGGGAGGGGCCCCTTACGACCCAAGCGCAATATCAAGCCACCTCGTGGCATATAACATAAGGCCTGAAAGCCTCCTCACATCACTCACAAGGCCTGAAAGCTTCCTCACATCACTCACAAGGCCTGAAAGCCTCCTCACATCACTCACGAGGCCTAAAAGCCTCCTCACATCACTCAACATATCCTCACATATGGCCCTTGGCCTCACTCGATCCAGAAAACATCATAAGCCCCTCGGGCATCAATAAAATAATAGTGCTCAGCCCAAACAACAGTGAAAATATCATTTAAGTCTCAAAGTTCAATTAAAGCGACTGAGTTTATAAAACAGTATAATCAACAGGACTGAGTTCAAGTAGTATATCAAAATAGTGAGGAAACAGTGATAAAAATCCTCGAAGGGTTCAGATAATTGGCACGAAGCCCAAATATGGCAATCAGCCCAAATCATGATAATAACAAATAAGTTTCAGTCAAATACGCGGTAAAATCATCAATCGGGACGAACCAAGTCACAATCCCCCAACGGTTCTCTACCCCACGCTCGATATCCGGCGTGCAAGTCACCTCAATATAGCACTACAGTGTGCAATCCGGGGTTTCAAACCCTCAGGATATCATTTACAATCATTACTCACCTCGAACCGGCGAAATCTCTAGCTCGCGACGCCTTGCCCCTCAAATCGGCCTCCACGCGTGTCGAATCTATCAAAAATCAGAGGGAATACATCAAAATATGCTAAGGGAACAAAGCCCAAGCAAAAACAATCAATTACGGGCACAAACCCCGAAATTACCAAAACCCGAGCCCCGGGCCCACTTCTCGAAACTCAGAAATTTTCACATCAATAGATTCCTTATTTCCTCACGAGTTCATACATACCAAAAGTTCTCAAATCCGACCTCAAATGGTCCCTCAAATCCCCAAATCAAATTTCAAATCCCTAGGCCCCAAACCTTCGGATTTCACCCCAAAAACAAGTAATCTAGTCAGGATATTTGATGATAATCCCATATTATTGACTAACAATGACCGCAAGTGACTTATCTCTAGTTTTCACATGAATTCTTACTCAACAATCACCCAAAAACGAAATTGAAGATTAGGGTATAGAACCTTACCTCTTTGATGAAGAACTTGAGGGATTTCTTGTTGGATTTCAAGGATTGGACAACATTTTTTGATGAACAAGGCACTTGAGCTTCTTCCTCTCTCTAGAATTGCTCTTCCCTCTCTCTAAAAGCTCCAGAATACCCCAAAATAACAAACCCCAAACGAGTTAAATGAAATGGGGTTCGGGTTTTAAAAACCCATTTTTGTACTGCCACGCCGCATGGGGCACCGCATGGGGCGCCGCGGTAGTGTAAAATTTTGCGCTGCTTTTGGTAATTTGGCCATAACTTCTTGTAGGAGTGTTCGAATAACGAACGGTTTGAAGCGGTAGAAACTAGATTCGAAAATCTTTCATTTGATAGGTTGATCATCACATAAATCCTTATATTTATTCAGATATTCTTGTCCAAAGTTTGGTCTTGTGCTGCACATTCGAAACTTTCGTCTAAAATGAACAACTTGGCTTGGACTTAGGCCTCTCTTTAGACCCCAAATTACTTATAATATGCCCCGTACACTTATTATCATATCCAATTGATATCCATCATATTAATAGTCCTCGTTTGCAGACAAAATAATATAATTAGCGCACATCAATTTTCTTAATAGCACTTCAAAAATTTTTCGGGGCGTTACATTCTCCCCCACTTAGGATCATTCGTCCTCAAATGAGAAGTAGAGTCCGCTCCCAAACACATAACATCATTTAAACTTGTTTCAATCATCAAAACACCTCAAACAACATCAAAACCATCAATTCACATCGAATTCAAACCTAAGTTCTTCTAAAATTTCCGAAACACGCATTTGATCAAAAACCCAACCAAATCACCTCCGAATGACCTGAAATTTTACACACATATCCCAAATCACATAATGAAGCCACATTAACTTTCGGAATTCCATTCCGACCCTCGGATCAAAATCTCACCTTTCAACCGGAAATCGCCAAAATACTAACTTCGCCAATTCAGGCCTAATTCTACACCGGACTTCCAAAACCAATTCCGATCACGCTCCTAAGTCACAATTCACCTAACGAAGCTAACCAAATCATAAAAAATCCAATCCGAGCTCATATACAAATAATTCAACTCTTGGTCAAACCTTTCAAATTCAAAGCTTTCAACTGAAACTGTTCTTTCGAATTCATTCCAAATTTTCCTGAAAATCAATACCAACAATCTACATTTGTCATAATACATAATACAGGGCAAGTCATGCCCGAGAACTGGCGATCAAAGTGCAAAAACTCAAAACGACCGGCTGGGTCGTTACAACATTGTGGTATTAAAAAACTCAAGCCTCCAACAACTCCTTCTAGAACACAAATGTACTGTGAATACGAAAAATAAGTGTAACCAATATGAGTTCAGTTGATGGATTCCTTGATATGGAAGCTAAAGTGATGCAAAAAGGCAAACGAAAAAGAGAAACTGTTTCTTGTCGTGAATACTATTGCTACCAACTCCAAATAAGAGATGATGAAAATATAATCTTACACGCAGGAAGATTATTTCAGCAATATGTTGTAGACGAATGGATAAAAGTTGATACTCAAAGATTAGATTTCGCTTCTTTTAATCAAGATTTATTTAGAATGGATGTGTTAGCAGGACTTTTAGATCTTTTACGTCGTGGTGAGAGAGAAGGCTCACAAGTAGGCAAGAACAGAATACTTCCACTTAGCTTCACAGGAGGTCCAAGAGATATGCGCCGCCGATACATGGATGCTATAGCATTAGTACAACGTTTTGGAAAACCCGATATATTTCTAACTATGACATGTAACCCTTCTTGGCCTGAAATTGAAGAAAACTTAATATCGACAGATGAAGTCCAAAATAGACCTGATTTAGTTAGTCGAATATTCCGAGCAAAATTAGAAGAGCTAAAAAAAGATATACTAAAAAGACAAATATTTGATAAAGTTGCAGCATTTTTACGGTAGAATTCCAAAATCGAGGACTTCCGCATGCTCATTTCCTTATCATACTAGATGAAAAATACAAACTATTAACTCCTGAGGCATATGACCAATTTGTTTGTGCTGAATTTCCAGACCCGAAAAGAAATCCCGATTTATTTAAGCTTGTTACACAACACATGGTGCATGGTCCTTGCGGGCAATTAAATCCGACAAGCCCCTGTATGAAGAAAAAAACTGGTCAATGTAAATTCAAATATCCAAAAGAGTTTGCTGAACAGACAACTAAAGGAAAAAATTCATATCCTATTTATAGAAGACGAAATATAGGAAAGACTGTAGAAATTAGAGGACAACTTTTTGATAACTCATGGGTTGTTCCTTACAATCCATTCTTACTTTGTAAATTTAATTGTCATATGAAAGAGGAAATTTGCTCTGATATTAAAGTTGTTAAGTACATTTATAAATATATTTGCAAAGGGCATGATAAAATTGCATTCCACATACACCCAAATGATACGAATATAGAAATAGATGAAATAAAGGAATACCAATCTGCTAGATGGGTAACACCACCAGAGGCAGCATGGCGTATATTTGCTTTTCCTATCAGTGAAATGAATCCAACTGTATACCATCTTCAGGTCCATCTTGATGGCCACCAAATTGTTTTCTTCAAAAGCACCGACAATATTACCAGAATTGTAAATAATTCTTTGATTAAAAAACCAATGTTAACTGAATTTTTTATAATGAATAGAGAAAACAAAGATGCTATGAATATGAATTTATTATATCGAGAATTTCCAGAATACTTTTTATGGTCAACAACGTACAAAATGTGGTCACATTGCCAACAAGGATATGCTATTGGTCGAGTTGTAACATGTCATCCAACCGAAGGAGAAAAATACTATCTTAGATTGCTCTTAATGAATGTAAGAGGACCAAAATCATATGAAGATTTACGAACTATAAACGGAGTAACTTGTGACACATTTAGAGAAGCTGCAAAAAAAGAGGACTATTACTTCGTGATAATAATTTAATAGAATGCATGTCCGAAGCAGTAAGTTACCAAATGCGATCCAATTTAAGACACTTATTTACTGTATTATTAGTTTATTGCAATCCCGCTAACCCAAGAGAGTTGTGGGAAAAATTTGAAAGTCCAATGTCTGAAGATTTCAAAAAATACCCGAACATGCATACAAGAGAAATTCGTTACAAAGTGTTAAGCCATATTAATGATATTCTTCATTCAATGAGTCGTGATATCAACAAATTTGAATTGACTAAAGACAAAATTCAACCATCTGTAGCAGCCAAAGAGGCTAAAGATGTACATTGAAAGAAATATTACCGTCAATGAACAAGATCTATTATTGCCATATAAATTAAACACTGAACAAAAAAGAGCTTACAATATAATCCTTGATAGAATATTTTCAACTAAACCCGGAGCATTCTTCATTGATGGTCCGGGCGGAACTGGAAAAAGCTTTTTATATCGTGCCTTATTAGCTACTGTGAGACATAGAGGATTTATAGCTTTAGCGACTGCAAGTTCAGGCGTTGCTGCTTCACTCCTTCCTGGAGGTCGAACTGCTCATTCTCGATTTAAAATACCTATTGATGTTGATGGAAATTTTAGTTGCAATATTAGTAAACAAAGTTCACTAGCATCATTGATTCGAGATGCGAAACTAATAGTATGGGATGCAATTTCTATGGCAAAAAAGGAAATGATTGAAGCACTAGATTTGCTTTTGAGAGATTTAATGGAAACAAATATGCTATTCGGCGGAAAGGTTGTTGTATTTAATGGTGATTTTCGACAAACACTTCCCGTCGTTCGTGGTGGAAAAAAGGAAGATTTTGTCGCGAAAGCTTACTATATTCTGAAATTTGGCATCAACTTGAAAAACTACAATTGTCTGAAAATATGTGTGCAAAAACTGACCCAGCTTTTTGTGAATATTTAATGAGAATCGGCAATGGAAAAGAAAGAAAGAATAATAAGAGCAAAGTTGAAATTCTCCGTCCTCTGATTATATCTTTCACAACTGAAAAAGATTCCCTGAATCATCAATTTAAAGTTACTTATCCTGATTTATATTCAACTCATTCAAATATTTTCTTTATTACTTCTCGTACAATTCTAACTACAAAGAACGACTTTGTTGATGAAATAAATGACATGCTAATAGCTCAATTCCCAACTAATGAAAAAGTATATTTGGCTACTGATGAAACAATTGATCCAAAAGATCAAAGTGAGTACGAAGACTTTTTGCACAATCTAAATCCTCCCGGTTTACCTCCTTATAAATTGTCCCTAGAAAAAAAACTGTCCAATCATATTATTAAGAAATTTGAATCCCTGCGAAGGTTTATGCAATGGCACGCGATTAATATGTAATGATTTCAAATCTCATGTTATCAGTGCTACAATATCCAGTGGTAATTTTAAAAATACACATGTATTCATTCCTCGAATACCACTATTAACATCCGAAGATGAAAAACTACCTCTTCAATTTAAACGAACACAATTTCCAGTACGGTTATGTTTCGCCATGACTATAAATAAAGCTCAAGGCCAAACTTTAGACTTTGTTGGTATTTATTTGCGAGAACCTGTATTTTCTCATGGTCAACTGTACGTTGCTTTATCGAGAGCTAAAGGTTCTAACTGTGTCAAGGTATTAATTAGGCCACCTACCGCTGGTGACGATGATGACCATTCCACATATAATGTAGTCTATGATGAAATTATCGAAAAAGCTCTTTCTTTAACTTAAATCATCATTCCCAACAGTAAGTCCGGCGTACAACTTGATCATTCAATGTACTCTTCCAATTTGTATTATATATATTCTGCCGATGTTACATACGCTCACTTGCCAACGTTACATATGCTCACTATTATATTATGATGTGGTTTTCTTGCAGATTTTATCCAGACGGCAGAAAGGCTTAACATCAATGTAATTACCCCAAAAACAGAAGAATGGACCTGCAAAGTCCAAGTAGTTGATAAAGGCAGACCTAGAGACAACATAGAGAAAACAAAGTATCAACTAATGATTCTGCAGGATGAAGAGGTGCTCTTTTGTGACTCATAACTCTGCCAATAGTAAATGAACTAATATTATTACTGCTTATATATTTGCTTAACAAGTTACAAGAAAACACTAAGTACTAGAAAAAGTTAACGTACGCATAATTGGGTATCCTAATTGTGTCTTATTTTGTTACAGGAAAACCAAGTCGAGTGCATTATATTCAATGCTGAGATAACGCATTTTGAAGATTTGTTTCGTCCTTTCCACACTAACTTGGTGTCAGTTGCACAAGTCAAAGAATCAAATTATATGTATGGAAATCCAGTTAACAAATTTACTTGGACAATTGATAGGAGCACGATTGTTGAGCCTGTGGAAACTATCAATCCTCCAGAAGTTCCACTGCCGCCGCCAACGCGGCTAACTCTTACACCATTTGACAACTTCGAGTATCAACGTGAGGGATCTGAATTTAGTAATTGAACGTTTAACTATCTATATTGTTTTTCCATCTAAAATTTATTTATTATTAATATTATTAGATGTAGTAATATTTGTTATCTCTTAAGTTATTCAATGTTATTTTTAAATGCAAGATGTCCTTGCTATTGTCCTCAACGGCAGCTCTTCAACATATGCTTCAAACGGGAAAAGAATTCAAGATTTTATCATCATGGATGATCAGTAAGTTTGTAGTGCAAGAAAATTTTATTTTCACTGAATTAAAGGTTTATTCCCCAATCCACTTCACAGTTTGGTTTGATTATTTATTTGTGAAAACACAAAAGAGTTTCAAAGGTCTTTAAGCATTTATTGCATCGACCTTTTTTTCCTCCTTTTTTTAAGTTGGTCCTTTCTGGCAGAAAAGAATTACTATCCTTTTTTCATGTGACTGATCAAGAATTTGTGAAAGAGTATCGGAAATGAACAATGTCCGACTTCTTCATTCTTTTGCCTTTTATGTTCTCCTGGCAATATTGTGATGCATTGATAAGTTGAATCCGCATTTGTCCTCCATTACCCTTCATCATTAAGTTGATTTTGTTAAAAGTATGTTCTCAATGAACCTTCCTCCTATTCACCAACTACCTCCTCTCTGTAATATTGTCCATCTTCGAGTGGCTTTAAAGGAAATAAACAAACAGTTCCTACTTTTGTGGGTATTACATCTACAGTACTTGAGTATGGTAGATAGTGTTCTTATGTTATCTTTATTGTATAGACAATTTACCAATGTTGCATAATATGTTTGGGCCGCGTATATATTTTTATTTATGTGTTATACTGGTATTTCTACTAGAGAACTTGAAGGAAAACACAAACTTAAAATCTAATCAGTCAGTGTAGGAAATTTTGTTCAATATTTGGTGAATTATAAAGAGACGTAAAACAAATTGTTGCTTAGTTAATTTATTAGTCCTAATTGTCAGTAGTGTATGCAAATATATAATTGGAGAATGCTGAATGTTATTTTCTCTTTTACCTTTTACCTGTTCCCACTAAAAAATCTGATAAATTCCGAAACTTCCTTTGACAACTTGCATTTGTGTAGCCTCCAAGTCAATCATGTGAATGCAACAGAATCCCAATTATCTATTAGGTTTGGAAAGTTATTCTGTTTTACACCTCTTACTCCTAATAGCAAGTTTATAGAAGGATTACATAATGTTGGGCAAATTGTGGTACACATTCTCTGCAACATATCAATTTGGCATTAGAATATAATTCAAACTTAAACCTTTGTAGTGAAAGGAAAATAGTAACTCTGTACAACTGAAAACGTACCGTTATTTGAGTGATGAACTGAAAACATTATCTGCAACATATGAGTAATGAATTGAAAACATTCTGCTACACTTTGTGTATAAACTACGGCAATGTAGCTATATCTTTTTTTTTTATGGTCAGTTTTCTTAGTTTGGCCTTAGCTTTTTGTTTCATATTATCGAAATTGCTACACATTAAAAAAACTATATGTGTTCATTTCTTTTAATCATCTCTAGCCCTTTAATGTTCGAATTGTTACTCATTTGTACTGCTCAAGCATTACGATTCCCGTGATGATTTAATATAGGCATTAAACATTTTGTTTCCATTTTATACAGGAAAAAACCAACCAAATTCACACTTTGGAAAGATTTTATTGATCATGACGGAAACAAACTATTCAAACAACTTAAAGAGTACCCAGTCATTCTTGCTAGAAAAATTGGAAGACCAAAGTCGCCCTCAGGTTCAGGTGAGTATATGCATGACTATATTTTACCCTTTCATATAGCATACGATCAAATTGACACTGAACATTCAAATACATGCAGGATTGACCAACAGATTCAGCACAACACACACAGGATTGACTAGCAGATTCAGTACAACAATCGAAATCAATCCTCCATACCCGCAGGCAAATGCGCTGAGAACATGGTATTGCAGATATGCTTCTCTATGAATACATTTTTTGATCATGCATATGCGTAACATACAAAAGAACTAATGTTGAGATGTCAACATATTTTAAGGGCCAGAGAAAATGAGCAAATGCTTATTGCATACACAATAGAAAGCACAAGTCCAACAGGCTCTCTTTTATTTGTTCCTTTTGAGGAAGAGATAGTGCCAATTGCAGATATCCAACAACAATCTCCGGTAAGAACACTAAATGTTAACATGTACTGTTTCAAATATTCACTTTTCTTTTCTAATAGCGAAAAATACATATGTGCCATCCTTACATTTTTTAGGGCCAAATATTCTCCATACAAGCTGAAGTCGCACTACAAAATGAGAAGCAACGATTCTTTATCCTAGCTTGTTCAGACTGCAAACAACACTTCACAAGAACTGTCTCGCGGAGAACATTTTACTGCACTAATTGCCGCCGATCTACCCTGCTTGTTCCCAGGTAAAAATCGAAGAACATTCTTCTACATAACTGTTTACATTTTTTAATATTATAAGTTATCCATCAATTTAACTAAGCATTTATTCTATTTTACAATAGATGCCAATTCGAGGTCACTGTCACAGACCAAAGTGGTTCTACAACAGCAACTATTTCTGATGAGCATGCGGAAAACATATTACTTCTCACTTCAGAAGAGCTCTATAATATCTACAATGTCAAGGTACATTGTTAACCTAAAAAAGTGACAAACAACTATGTTCTCCAATTTGAGCCTCCTCTCACACATAGATAACCAATCTTATTTTTCTAGAAAGAACTGCCACCTATTGTGAATGCGCAAAAGCAACTGACCGGCAAAATATTTAACCTTCAAATGAAAAAGCTGTTTACAAAAAACCATGATGCAGTGCCAGGAAAGTTGGTTATTTTGTCTTTCATTCCCAAAGGTAATCCGGCTTCACAAACGCCATCCACCATCAAAGACGTTGCTGAAGGAAGCAAACGAAAAATTGAGCATGTTAGTACAGGGGAACAAGAGCACCCGCAGACAACCAACAAAGGAAGTACTTCCTACAACAAACATAAGGTGGAAATGAAAATTCCTGTTTCGAAAAGGTGTTGAAAGGTATTTGAAATTTCTTTTCCTCTTTAGATTAAATATGAAGTTTTATTATGCGGAAAAGCCAAAAAAACTTAAAATGTCATTTGTTAGTGCTTTTGCCAGTAAAAGATCTTTTGGTACTAATTTGGGATGTACTGAAGCCACTTCTTGCTGCTATATCTGAATGCGGTAGCCCAAATTCCGCTCCTGCAATAGAATGGCCGCTTCTGTGGTTCCCAAGCCGCAAAAGCGAAAATACCAGAACAGAAGAAATCAGCTGCTGCAACACTTCAAAAATTTCTCCGTTAACCACCCGAAATCATTCCAAGGCCCCCGGGACCTCAACCAAAAGCACCAATAATACCTAATACCTCATTCAAACTTGTACGAATCCTTAAACCACTAAAACAACGTCGGAAACTCGATTAATTCAAGGATTTGAGCCTAAGAACTTCCAATTTCATAAAAATACACTTTTGATAAAAAGCCCAACCAAAACGCGTCCGAATGACCTGAAATTTTGCACACACGTCCCAAATGACATGACGGAGCTACTGCAACTTCTGAAATTCCATTCCGACCCTCGGATAAAAACCTCACTATCGGACCGGAAATTTCAAGAATTCAAACTTCGGCATTTCAAGCCTAAATGATCTACGAACTTCCAAGATACATTCCGAACATGCACCCTACCCTGAAATCTAACAGAACCATCGGATTTCCATTCCGAGGCCGTCTTCACACTGTTCCGACTGCGGGCCATTTTTCAACACTTATGCTCTCATTTAGGGACTAAGTGTCCCAAAACTCTCCGAAACCCAACACCGAACGTCCCGGCAAACCAAAATAGCAGAAATGAACTTAGGGGAAGAAGTTAATAGGGGATCGGGGTGTTAATTCTTAAGACGACCGGCCGGGTCGTCTCATTTAGTGTTATTTGATCCTGGTTCCACTTATTCATATGTGTCATCATACTTTGCTCATTATTTGGATACCCCCAGTGATTCTTTTGTTACGCTTGTTCACATATCTACGACGATGGGTGATTCTATTATTGTGGACCATGTGTACTGGTCGTGTGTGGTGACTATTGGGGGTTATGAGATGAGGGTTGATCTTTTACTGCTTAGCATAGTTGATGTTGACGTGATATTGGGCATAAATTGGTTGTTGCCATGTCACGCCATTCTGGATTATCACGTTAAGATCGTGACTTGGGCGATGCAGTGGGGGGGGGAGGGGCGAGGTTGGAGTGTAGAGGCTCCCATGATTATGTTCGTAGTAGAGTGATTTCACATTTGAAGGATCAACAGATGGTTGAGAGGGAATGTTTGGCATATTTGGCCTTCGCGAGGGATGTTAGTGCTGATACTCCTACTATTTAGTTAGTTCCGGTAGTGAGAGATTTCCCAGATGTATTTCCAGCAGACCTGGCAGGCATGCCACCCGACAGGGACATTGATTTTAGTATTGACTTGGTACTAGGCACTCAGCTTATCTCTATTTCAGCGTATCGCATGGCACCTATTAAGTTAAAGAAACAATTACAGGAGCTACTTGATAAGGGCTTCATCAGGCCTAGTGTGTCACCTTGGGGTGCACCGATTCTATTTATGAAGAAGAAGGATGGTACTCTGAGGATGTGTATTGATTACAGGCAGTTGAACAAAGTTACAATCAAGAACAAGTACCCACTACCATGCATTGATGACTTATTTGATCAGTTTCAAGGTGCTAGAGTGTTCTCGAATATTGATTTGAGATCCAGGTATTATCGGTTGAATATTCGAGATTTAAATATTTCGAAGATGGCTTTCAGGGCCCGCTATGGTCACTACGAGTTTCTAGTGATGTCTTTTGGGCTGACTAATGCCCCAGCAGTCTTTATGCACTTGATGAATACTGTGTTTCAGCCATATCTTGATTCTGTCATCATAGTAGTCATTGATGATATATTGGTGTACTCACGCAGCCAGGAGGATCATGAGAAGCATCTGAGGCTCGTTCTCCAGACTTTGAGGGAGAAGAAACTATATGCTAAATTCTCCAAGTGTGAGTTTTGGCTTGATTCAGTAGCGGTCTTGGGCTACATGTTGTCTAGTGAGGGGATCAAGGTATATCCAAAGAAGATTAAGGCAATTTAGAGGTTGCCTAGACCGTCTTTAGCTATAGAGATTTGGAGCTTCTTGGGTTTGGCGGGTTATTATCGTCATTTTGTGGAGGGTTTCTCATCCATTGCTGCGCCTTTAACTAGATTGACCCAGAAGGGTGCTCCTTTCAGATGGTCTGAGGAGTGTGAGGAGAGATTACAGAAGCTCAAGACTGCTTTGACCACATTCCCAATGTTTATATTACCTATGGATTCGGGATCTTACATCGTGTATTATGATGCATCCTTTATTGGGCTTGGTGCGATGTTAATGCAGGACGCTAGGGTGATAGCCTATGCGTCTCGGCAGTTGAAGGTCATGAAAAGAATTACCTTGTGCATGATTTGGAGTTGGCAGCCATTGTTCACACGTTGAAGATCTAGAGGCATTATCTGTACGGCATTCCATGTGAGGTCTATACCGACCATCGAAGTCTCCAACACCTGTTCAAGCAAAAAGACCTCAATTTGCGGTAGCGGATATGGTTAAAGTAGCTGAAAGACTATGATATCACCATATTATATCATCCGGGGAAGGCCAATGTGGTGGCCGATGCATTGAGTAGGAAGGCTAAAAGTATTGGCAGTTTGGTATATTTTTCGGCAGTGGAGAAGCCACTAGCCATAGATGTTGGCCAATTAATTTGTGAGGTTAGATATTTCATAGCCTAGACGGATTCTTGCTTGCGTTGTGGCTTAGTCATCGTTGTTGGAGTGTATCAATGCACGTCAGTTGGATGATTCTCACTTGATGCTATTGAGGGACACGGTTCAACGGGGTGGTGCTAATGAGGTTGTGATTGGTGATGATGGTGTTATGCATCTTTAAGGCCGAATTTGTGTTCCAAATGTTGATGGGTTGAAAGATGTGATCCTTGAGGAGGCTCACTGCTCGTGCTATTCTATTTACCCAGGTGTCACGAAGATGTACCATGACTTGAAATAGCACTATTGGTGGCGGAGAATAAAGAAAGATATTGTTGCTTATGTCTCTCGTTGTTTGAATTGCCAATAGGTGAAGTATGAGCATCAAAAATCAGGAGGGCTGACTCAGAGATTGGAGATACCGGAGTGGAAGTAGGAGCGCGTCACTATGGATTTTGTGGTAGGCTTAGCACGGACCTTGAAGAAATTTGACGCAGTCTGGCTTATTGTGGACTAGTTGACTAAGTCTGCACATTTCATTCCGGTGGTGACTTCCAAGTCTTCAGAGCGGCTAGATCAGATTTACATCTGGGAGATTATCCGCTTGCATGGTCCCATTTCCATCATTTCTGACCGAGGCACGCAGTTCACATCACAGTTATGGGGGGTGGTGCAGCGAGAGTCGGGCACACGGGTTGAGTTGCATACAGCATTCCACCCTCCGACGGACAGAGAGTTTGAGCGCAATATTCAAATCTTGGAGGATATGTTACATGCATGTGTTATGGATTTTAGAGGTTCATGGAATCAGTTTCTTCTGTTAGAAGAGTTCGCCTACAAAAACAATTTTCAACTGAGTATCCAGATGGCTCCTTATGAGGCCTTATATGGGAGGAGATATCATTCTCTAGTTGGTTGGTTTGAGCCTAGGGAGGCTAGGTTGTTGGACATTGATTTGGTTTGTGATGCCTTGGAGAAGGTGAAGTTGATCTAGGACGGCTTCGCACAGCGCAGTCCAGACAGAAGAGGTTATGCTGATAGAAAGGTTCGTGATGTTGTATATATGGTGGGTAAGAAGATGTTGCTCACAGTTTCGCATATGAAGGGTGTGATGAGGTTCAGGAAAAAGGGCAAGATAAGCCCTCGGTATATTGGTCCATATGAGGTACTTGAGAGAGTCGGGGAAGTAGCCTACAGACTTGCATTTCCACCTAGTCTATCAGGTGCTCATCTAGTATTTTATGTTTCTATGCTTTGGAAGTATTATAGTGATCCGTCACATGTTGTGGACTTTAGCACGGTGCAGCTGGATGGGGATTTGACTTAATGTCGAGCTGGTAGCTATTTTGGGCTGGTAGGTTTAGAAGTTGAGGTCAAAGAATATAGCATCAGTGAAGGTACAATCGAGAGGTCAGCCAGTCAAGGAGGCTACATGGGAGAACGAGCAGGTTAGGCTATGTGGTTACTTGTTTGAGACTTAATGAGGATATTTCTATTATTTTGGGTTATCTGACTTAACTATAATTATACACTCAGTAATGATTCTTCATTTGCATATCGTATCTAAGTCTCTGCTCATCATTCATTGTTACATCACATGTTGTTATTTTTTTTCCATATGTGGTGCTGTTGAGCTGAGTGAGATTGTGAGCCCTTGAGACTTGAGAGTTGATGACTGAGGTGGGCCTTAGAGCCATCTTAAGAGTGTTAGTTAGATCGGGATGCACGCTGATGTCACTCAAATTCACACCACTAATTAGGATTGTGAAGCGGTCGATGCAATTATAATTACCCAATGTGAGTCAGGGTCGATTCCATATAGAGCTTATATTGGATTAGGTATATATCTAGACTAAGTGTATGATGTGCCCAAACTGCTCTTTCACATGTTTGGTTGTTTCTTTCTACTTCTAATTTTTATGCTAATATTTGTAAATGAAAAGCTAGAGAACGATATTTTTGGTGTTGTTATTTTTCAAATTTATAAAAGATCTAGGGTCGTGACTTCCACCTAGGTGGTTACCTAACAGGTTGTGGGTTTTAGGGAAAATTTGATTGATCGGGTATAATATAACAATAACACACAATTACCCACTCTATACCTCTCGGTAGTTAGAGTGATTTTGCCTAATTTGGCTTTCCCAAGTCCAAATATGTAATTCACAAAACAAGTGATAGATGCTCAAGTCGGGTCTTACTATCTCTAGATTCAACCCTTTAATTGGGGCTA